CCTGGAATACACACAATATACTGAATTTCGGAACAAATCGTGCATTACTTACAGCAGCAGAATACCACAGAAATATCAGACGAAACATGAAAACACTATATATTGTATTTCAGCCTGAACCCTCTATATTGCAATTCAAGGAATTAACCCCATATGTGCATCCATTTCCCACCTTGGTATCACCCACCCCTGAAAACAAACTCTTAATACCACGCTGAAGCGTTTGGTAATAAGCTGGATTACAATTCGGTCACGTTCCACGCACACACACGTTCTGAAGGTCAAAACGGTCGTTATGAACTGAACTGTTGTTGCACTAACATTGAGTGGTAACAGCGCCACAACAGTTCATTTTTGGCGAAGGTCGTCGTCTGATCAAAATGGCTACTGCGACGTTTCCCAGGCTGCTGCCCAAACTGATTGTCTTTGATTTAGGTAAGTGTACGATTTCACGCAATTAATAACGAAATAACAAAACAAGGACTGTACTGCAGACCCGACGAGGACACGGGCGCTTGCAACAGGATTTATGGTTAAGGTAGCCCTGAGTACAGGCCCCCGAATGATCAACGGAAGGAGGCCAACCTACAGGACTGTACTCAGGGCTATGGTTAAGGGAGATAAGGGAGATAGGCTTGGGTAGGGTTATATACTAGTATAGAAATAAAGACAGGGTATGAAACGTCCGCACTTGGAATCGCTGTACACCAAACGAATACGGCTGGTTTGTGAATAAACTCGCACACTACACTCACCAAAAAAGCAATCCACTTGACTATCAGACTCTTATTTATCCAATTTTGTCATACGTTTGTAATAATTTGTCTGTAAATTCGCAAAAAAATTATAATTTCTGGCGCTATCGAGCGTCGCGGCGTACCCCAGACCATTCGTCCCGGTGTTATCGCTATCGCCACACGAGACTCCAGCTTGTCTCCTATACAATTTTCCTTCCGCCCACTTAATTTTAATATTCATATGACCTTTGCACTGACATCGATAGCCAATCGCATTCGACCGCGGACATCACTCTAAATAAACAACTGAATAAATTAATATACCATATTTGGAAGATAGCGGGTAAATTCAACGTTGTTGGTGTGTTCGTGTGTTGTTCGCACGAAACGAGGATTTAAGTCCTATTCATAGGAGCACTGTCTTCACTAGCATTCAAAAATCTAACTAAACATACTGGATTCGAACCAGCGATCGCTCACATAGCTGACATAGTACAAATCAACTGAGCTATGTGGGTAGTCGTGCAAATTAAATAATTTGTTGTCATATTTAGCTTTATTGCCAAATGGG